GGCATTCGGCAGCCTGCTTGAATAACGCGCATCTGTTTGAACATTGAGCATCTCAGTGGGCTTTACCCAGGACTTCTCAACCCCCCTCCTCTTCAATCATACCCTCTACCCTCCCTTTCCCCTTCTCTTTCATCCTCTTCTCCTCTCCGTCCTTTCTGGCCCCTTCCTCTCCACCGCTTCCCCTCCCCGCCCCCCCCCCTACCCTCCCCTCCTATCCTCTCCCCTCCTCTCGTGCCCGCATGTCCGCCCATCGGCCCGACTGCCCCCCAGCAACGAAGGCTACGGGCAAATGCACTCCTCGCTGACGCGGCGGCTCGAGCCCCTATCCGGGGTCTCGCCCGTCGCATCCCCGAGCGCCGGGGGGCGAGCGCCACCAGGAAATTAATGAAGCCGTGCTCGGAGCCTGGCATGCTCACCTGGCAGGGTCTCGCCGGCCCCTGCCTTCTCTGGCCCCCCCCGCCTCTGGGGCGACGAGGTCTGTGCACCTCCTCCACGCCGTGGCCAGGTACCTCCTGGGCCCAAGGGGCGGTGCATGCGCCCTCCTGGCTTGGCCAGGGCGGCGTGTGCACCGCTCCTAGCACCACCCTGGTCCCATGAGCGGTGCACGTGCGTCCCCTGGCCAAGCCAGGAGGGCGCATGCACCGCCCCTGGGCCCAAGATGTGCCTGGCAGGGGGCAGTGGATGTGTACAGCTCTCGTCGCCCGACAGGCAGATATTCGTCGTCCGCCCTCTGCTTCTGCTGCTCGGCCCTTGGGGGTCCCAATGCCATCGGAGCCGGCGGCACGCACTCGGACAGAGAGAACTGCCAGTGCCCAGATCACGGCTACTCCTTCGCGAGGGGGAATATGAAGGGAGCGAAAGATGGATGAGGGAGCGGGGGACTGAGAGGTGCTCGGAGGGAGGAGGGACGAGGCCTGGAGGAAGTGGCTTTCAGATGTACAGGCTCTGGTTGGATCGCACTCGATCCCCTCAGGTTACAGCCGCTCCCCTCCCTTACCCTTGTATGATGTTCTGCGTGACCATCTCCGCCATACCACTCTCTCCAAGCCCCTCCCCAGACTCGCACCTTGCTTTTTGCAAGGGCAAGTCTTGAGCCGCAGATTGAATTGCTGGACCCCTGTTTAGAAAAAATACGGCTCCCTCCCAATACTTCTCTTGACCTTATTCAAAATCTCGCTCTCGCGCCTGACTTCTCCACAATATCGCGCTCTCGCGTGGTGCGTCTTCACAATTTATTCAGGCGCCACGCCCCCAACACTCAGGAATCATGCTCTCGTTCCGGGTTTCTTCGCGATTTACTTCGGACTTGCGCTATCGCTGAAAGACTTCCTCGCGATCCATGTCCGCCGTCTGCTCCCGCCCGCCCGACCCGCCCGTTTGGGTCCGCCCGCCCCGCCCGCCCGTAAGGTTATGCCTCTTGTTTTTCTGCTGCTGACCCCCCTCTTGATAATCTCTATCGCGCTCTATGCTTCTCCCTTCCCCTTGCCCCTTCCCTCCCCCCATCCCCTGTTTTAAAGGCTTCGCCAACTACGTGTGGCAGGTGAGGAAGATGCACTCCGAAGAGGTGCGATCGAAAACGAAAAAGGGCGGGCATCGAGGGTTGAGTGGCACGCAGGTAGATAAGAGCAAACAATGGTAACACTATTGTTGTTGTTGTCGTTATTGTTGCTGTCCTCGTTGTCGTTGTTGTTGTTGCTGCTTTTGCTGTTATGTTTTTTTCTCATTTCTGAATAATTATTGTTGATCCCCCCTCCCGTAGCATATCTGTTCTTTCAGTTGAAGTGCCCCTCCTGGGGCTCGCACCCTGTTTTTTAATCAAGGAAAATCTTCCTGCTCAAGCTGTGTTGTTGGCCCCTGGCTTACAACAACAGCGGCTCCCGCCTGACACTTCCTCAAATTCATCCCCAAATCGCGCTCTCGCGCGGGACTTCCTCACAATTTCTGTATGAATCGCGCTCTCGCGTGGGACGTCCTCGCAATTCATCCAGACGATACGCTATCGGCGCTCAGGAAACACGCTCTCGCTTTGGCTTTTTCTTACGATTTACTTGGGAAACGCGCTATCTTTCGAGACTTCCTCGCAATTCATGAAATGACCCACGTTTCAACAACCCGCTTGCTCGACCTGGTCGTCTGGGCCCGCCTTCCCGACCTGCCCGCTATGAGCCTGCCCACCCGATCTGCCCGTCTGGCTCTACCACTTGTTTTCTGTTCCTTGCATCCCTCCTGCAAATTTCTCTCGTGCTCCGTTCTTCTCCCTCCCCCTTTCGCAGGTCCTTGCTTCCCCTGTTTTAGTGGCTTCCCTAAATGCACGTGGCAAGTAAGGGAGATATACCCCCAAGCGGGTACGATCGAAGACGACGAGGGCGGGTACCGAGGGTTTGGGATATACGTATTGGTTGGCACGTGATCAGATAGGAGCGAGCATTCTTAAACTGATTGTTGTTGTTGTTGTTGCTGCTGCTGCTGTTGTTGTTGTTGTTGTTGTTGTTGTTGTTGTTGTTGTTGTTCTTGTTGTCGTTGCTGTTGATGTTGCTGTTGTTGTTGCTGCTGCTGTTGTTGTTGTTGTTGTTGTTGTTGCTGTTGTTGAACTCTCATTTCTCACAAACAATTATGGTTGATCCCCCTGCCCAATAAACATTGCATGTTTCAATTAACGTGCTTCTCTCGGGGCCCACACCCTGTTCTTTACAAGGGAAAGCTGGGTGTCACCAAACTGGGCCCTTGGCCCCCGAGTTACAACGACAACGGATCCCGCCTTATACTTCTTCGCAGTGTATTGAAACATCGCGGTCTCGCGCGGGACTTTATTACACTTTATACAAGAATCCCGCTTTCGCGTTGGACTTTCTCGTCGTTCATTCAGAAGCGCCGCGCCGTGGACGCTCAGGAATCACGCTTTCGCTGTGGATTTCCTGACGATTTGTTGGGGAATCGAGCCATCGCTCGACACGTCCTCGCGACTCATGCAGAACGCACGCGTCAGCAACCCGCCTGCTCGACCTCCCCGCTGTCGCCTTTCGTGGCCCTCTCGTTGCCCTTCGTGGCCCCTCTGTGGCCCTCGCTGCCCTTCGTGGCTCTTCCCCCTCCTCCTCCCCCCCAGTCGTCGTCGTCGTCGTCGTCGTCGTCGTCGTCGTCGTCGTCGTCGTCGTCGTCGTCGTCGTCGTCGTCGTTGTCGTTGACACCGTCGTCGTTGTCGTCGTCGTGGTCGGTCCCCAATCCGTCCCTCTTGGGGCCGGGTAGCCGCCGGTCAACGTTGCCGCTGGCCACGCCGACGGTCCGCGGCCGCCCCGCCGCTTGCGAGGTCCCGGCCTGCACGGAAAGAAAAATATACCCCCCAAAGGGGGTGCGATCGAAGACGCAGAGGGCGGGTTTCGAGGGTTCGGGAAATACGCGTTGAGTGACGCTCGAGCATATAAGAGCGAACGCTCTTGAAATTATTGTTTTTGTTTGTTGTTGAGCTCTCACTATAGAAGAAATATTGTTGATCCCCCCTCCGGGGCACGTAGTATTTTTCAACTGAAGTGCCCTTCCTAGGGCTCACGCCGTTGCTTTTTCAGAATTGGGCCACTGGCCCCCGAGATACAACAACAACGGCTCCCTCCTGATACTTCTTCACAATTCATTCCCGCATCGCGCTCTCGCGCGGGGCATCCTCACGATTTATGCAGAAATCGCACACTTGCGTGGGACTTTCTCGCAATTTATTCAAAAACCGCGCCCTCGACACTCAAGAATCACGCCTTTGCTTTGGCCTTCCTCACGATTTGCCTGGCAATCGCGCTATCGCTCGAGACTTCCTCGCGATTCATGCAGGACGCGCGCTTCAGCAACCCGCTTGCTCGACCTGGCCGCCTGGGCCCACCTTCCCGACCCGCCTGTTAGGGTCTACCCGCTCGATTTGCCCGTCTGGCTCTACCACTTGTTTTCTGCTCCTAGCCCCCCTCCTGGTACTCTCTCTTTCTCTCTCGTGCTCCATCCTCCTCCCTCTCCCTTGTCCCTTCCTTCCATCCGTCCTCTCTTCTCCTGCCGTATGGGCTGCATGAAATACACGTTGCAGGTAATAGATATACCCCCAAGGGGGTACGATCGAAGACGAAACGGGCGGGTAAAGAAAACTTGGGATATACGTGTTGAATGGCGCGCAGACAAGAGTGAACCGTGTTAAACTCATTGTTGTTTCGGTTGCCGTTGGGATTGTTGTTGCTGTTGTTGAGTTATCATTTCTACATCAGAACTATTGCTGATCCCCCTGCCTGGTAACCGTTGCACTTTTCAATTGAAGTGCTTTCCTAAGGCTCGCGCCCTGTTTTTCTACAACTAGGCAATGACATGCCACCAGGCTGTGCCCCTGGCCCCCGGTGTACAACAACAGCGGCTCCCGCTCGAGACTTCCTCACACTTCTTCCCAACTCGCGCTCTCGCGCGGGATGTCCTCACAGGTTGTGCAGGAATTGCGCTCTCGCGTGGGACTTCCCCAAGACCTATTTCGACGCCGCGCCCTCGACCTTCAGGAATCACGCTCTGGCTCAAGCTTGTCTCACGGTTTACTTAGGAGTTGCATTATTGCTGCTCGAAACTTCCTCGCGATTCATGCAGGACGCACGCTTCAGCAACCCGCCTGCCTCTTGTCCCTTCCTTCCGTCCGTCCTCGCTTCCCCTGCCTTAGTGGCTGCGCGGATTACACGTTGCAGGTAAGAGAGATGTATACCCCCAAGGTGGTACGATCGAAGACGAAAAGGGCGGACATCGAGGGTTTTGGATCTACGTGTTGACTGGCACGCGAGCATATCAGACTGAACAATCTTAAAATTATTAGCGCTGTTGTTGTTGCTGCTGATGTCGTTGTTGATCTCACGACAAAAGAATAATTATTGTCGACCCCCCCCCTCCGGGGCACATTGTATTTTTTCAATTGAAATGCCCTTCCCGGGGCTCGTATCCTTCTTTCTACCAGGGAAAATCTTGGGCCTCAGAATTGGGCCCCTGGCCCCCGAGTTACAACAACAACGGCTGCCGCCTGATACTTCCTCACAATGTATTCCCAAATCGTGCGCTCGCGAGGGACGTCCTTGCAATTTATGCAGAAATCGCGATCTCGCGGGGGTTTTCCTCAGCATTTCATTCGACGCCGCGCCCTCGATATTCAAGAATCACGCTCTCGCTTTGGCTTATCTCTCGATTTACTTGGGAATCGCGCTGACGCTCGAGACTTCCACGCGTTTCATGCAGGACGCACGCTTCAGCAAACCGCCTGCTCGACCTGGCCGTGTGGGCCCGCCTTCCCGACCCGCCCGTTAGGGTCGAACCGCCCGATCTGCCCGTCTGTTTCTGCCACGTGTTTACCGTTCCTAGCCCCCCCCCTTCTGCTACCTTCTCTCGTGCTCCATCCTCCTTCCTCCCCCGTGTCCCTTCC